CTATATATATAGTATAATATATATATTATATATACTCAAGACTTCTGAGATTTTGTTTGCATATCAATTAGGTCTAGAATCTCACCCATTTTCTTTGTAAGCAAATTATTGTGACCAATGGTAAATTATGCACTAGAGACACTCAAAAAAGTTTTTTGGGCTTATTAGAAATGACTGAGTCCATGGCAGACACAAGTGTTAGAGTGTTAAAAGACAAAAATTTATGTGCATTTTAAGAATATCCCAAGCACACCCAGCCACACCTAAAAGTCACTTGCTTGGAACAGTGAACAGATCAGGAATAACAGCGCTTAAAACAGAATCCAAGGAAATTAATAAAAAGTATTCCATCAATTTATGTGAGCTTTTCATAAGTGTTCAGGATATTACAGCTGCAAACAACTCAACAGATTTTTAACCAGCATCTTGTTCATGGACATAAATCTACAGCTGTTTCCTTAAAGACCTTTCTCCTTTATTTCTGCTTGAGGGCAGTGAGTGCTGGGTGCTGCCCCAGCCCAGCCTGTGGGGTTTGAGCTGCTGCCTGCACTTTTCTCCTCTTCCTGTTTCACCATCGCTCAGCACATCTATTTGGAGCAGAACTAAAGTGTTTGCTCCTGAAGTGAACCCAGAGGAATGCAGAGGGAATGAAAGGGCCAGCAGGACTCAGCTCTGAGCAGTGACTGTGCAGTGCTTGAGGCTGTTTTCCCTTACTTTCTCCCATAACTTCTATAATAAATTTATTTGGTTTTAACTTCCCAGAGAGTTGGGGGTGGGGCAGTGTGATCTTGGGTGCTCACTTGTGATGGAGGGAGTTGTATAGAAAACTTTGTTTCATATGCAATTCCTTCACTTCAGAACATTGATTTCCACTAATCATCCATTTCTCCTCTCAGTTTCTTTCTCTAGGATTTTTATTCCAGTCTTCCAATTTACCAGACTAACTCACAGCTAAATCCTAAAACATATTTTTCCATCTTAGCTCCTTTTCCCAATTTCACTCCTCTGTCCTTTGAATGATGGGTTCAAAGGAAATCCTGTAACCCAAAAAAGTTATTTTAACTTTTTGGAGGATTTTTCTTCTTGTTTACACACCTCATTGCAAATCCTGTCTGCCTTGCAGGCTGCCTGTACTGGATGTACCACCACATACCACTGCTTCCTTGGATCCTTCAGAAGTTTGTTTATTTAGGCTATTTTGTTGCAGCTGAATTCATTTATCAAAAACAAATGCTAACCCATAGATTACCATTTGTTAAGAATTTCCTGGGCCTGACTGATAAAATGATTAAGGAAAAGAAAAGATGTTTTGTGATGCTACAGAAAATGCAAATGGTAATTTTAGCAGATCTAAGATCTAAAGCTAAAATGAAATAACATTTTAAATGGCCAAATTGAATGAACTGAAAAATGCACCATCCGGAAAACATTCCATCTGACTCCCAATTGACATCATAACGAAATCATTTTAGTAAATAAATAAGAGACAGAATTGAAAAGAAACAGATTGAAAGGGAATGAAAATATCTGTATGAAATCTGAACCCCATACTTTTATGACTTATAGCTGATATCAGAGAAAAGCCATAATTACTAAGTAAATCTCTCATACTTATCAAATGACTAGAAGATCTGGGAAAACAGTTCCTGATATTCCCCAAGTAACTTCCACATTGCCATAGAAGGGGGATATTTTCCATGCTCGGGCTATTTTGCAGTTATTTCGTTGCCACTCTGATTTTTCAAATCCTCTGATGAACTAACTACTTTGCAAACATGGTGATTTCAAAATTCTTCACAGTTAATAGAACAAAAAGAAGGCCCACATTGACATCCCAGTGAAACTTTCTGTGATTGCAAGGAATTCTAGAAAAATTTCAGACTGTCCTCATTTCCTGATGCCAGCCCCACGTCAATGTGCAAGCCATGGGTCTCTGTGGTCCCTTATAGCAGGGTCATCCACTGCATGCAGTGGGCTTGATCATGCAGTCTGTGTTCATGGCATAATTTTATTTAATTTTCCACTAGCTGAAGCAATTTTCTGTAACTTCAAGCTTTGTTTCATTATTTGAAAAATTAACTATTTACTACAGGCTGGCAGATAACCTGTTGTCCTTCTTAGCTACCTTTTTTGTGAAACTGGCAACATTTTTCTCTGTTGAGGCTGAGATTCTTTACTATTTCAGTTTTTCTCAGAAGGGAAAAGGGACTTTTCTCTCTGTCCCTAAACTGCTCATCTCTACCCTGACAATTTTTATTCCCTTTACAAATATATATATATATGTGTGTGTGTAAAAGACAATGCTTGATGAAGAGAGTGGCTAATTGTGTTAGTCTGGCGTGATGGTTGGTGTTATGTACCTGGTTTTCACCTGGGATAATGCATACCATTTAGGGAGTTTTCTTCCCTGAAATTAATGGATGTAATTGAGCCACTTCATATTAATTTATTTCTAGTTCACTTGTAAACAATTTAGAGCAAAAGCAATCTCTGTATTCTGGGTTTTGTCCTAAGATCCCAAAGGCCTGATCTGCTGGTACGGAAATGGAAAAGTTTCTCTCTCTCTTCCACAGTCATGCCTACAGCATCACAGCCCAGGGCAAGCTCCCCTAAAAGCTTTTGTCAAGCAGGGTGTTTTTCCTCTGAGGGAAATTCCAGCCAGACCTTCTGGGAGCAGAGACCAGCCCTGCATCTCCGTGGGCAGAGTCGGAATCATGGAGCGCACATCCCACAGTGCAGGTGCCTCCCACACCCCACGGGGCTGGAACAGCTGGACTGGGGCTGTCACAGCTGGATCGGGGCTGTCACAGCTGGATGGGGCTGTCACAGTTGGACGGGGGCTGTCACAGCTGGATGGGGCTGTCACAGATGGATGGGGGCTGTCACAGCTGGATCGAGGCTGTCACAGCTGGACTGGGGCTGTCACAGCTGGATCAGGGCTGGCACAGCAGGATCGGGGCTGGCACAGCAGGATCGGGGCTGTCACAGCTGGATGGGGGCTGGAACAGCTGGGTGGGGGCTGGAACAGCTGGATTGGGGCTGTCACAGCAGGACTGGGGCTGTCACAGCTGGACTGGGGCTGTCACAGCTGGACTGAGGCTGACACAGCTGGACTGGGGCTGTCACAGCTGGACTGGGGCTGTCACAGCTGGATGGGGCTGTCACAGCAGGACTGGGGCTGTCACAGTTGGACGGGGGCTGTCACAGCTGGACTGGGGCTGTCACAGCTGGATGGGGCTGTCACAGCTGGATGGGGGCTGTCACAGCTGGATGGGGGCTGTCACAGTTGGACGGGGGCTGTCACAGCTGGACTGGGGCTGTCACAGCTGGATGGGGCTGTCACAGCTGGATGGGGGCTGTCACAGCTGGACGGGGGCTGTCACAGCTGGATCGAGGCTGTCACAGCTGGACTGGGGCTGTCACAGCTGGATGGGGGCTGTCACAGCTGGATCAGGGCTGGCACAGCAGGATCGGGGCTGGCACAGCAGGATCGGGGCTGTCACAGCTGGATGGGGGCTGGAACAGCTGGGTGGGGGCTGGAACAGCTGGATTGGGGCTGTCACAGCAGGACTGGGGCTGTCACAGCTGGACTGGGGCTGTCACAGCTGGACTGAGGCTGACACAGCTGGACTGGGGCTGTCACAGCTGGACTGGGGCTGTCACAGCTGGATGGGGCTGTCACAGCAGGACTGGGGCTGTCACAGTTGGACGGGGGCTGTCACAGCTGGACTGGGGCTGTCACAGCTGGATGGGGCTGTCACAGCTGGATGGGGGCTGTCACAGCTGGATGGGGGCTGTCACAGTTGGACGGGGGCTGTCACAGCTGGACTGGGGCTGTCACAGCTGGATGGGGCTGTCACAGCTGGATGGGGGCTGTCACAGCTGGACGGGGGCTGTCACAGCTGGATCGAGGCTGTCACAGCTGGACTGGGGCTGTCACAGCTGGATGGGGGCTGTCACAGCTGGATCAGGGCTGGCACAGCAGGATCGGGGCTGGCACAGCTGGATGGGGGCTGGAACAGCTGGGTGGGGGCTGGAACAGCTGGATCAGGGCTGTCACAGCAGGACTGGGGCTGTCACAGCAGGACTGGGGCTGTCACAGCTGGATGGGGGCTGTCACAGCTGGATTGGGGCTGTCACAGCTGGATGGGGCTGTCACAGCAGGACTGGGGCTGACACAGCTGGATGGGGCTGTCACAGCTGGATGAGGGCTGTCACAGCTGGACGGGGGCTGTCACAGCTGGATCAGGGCTGCCACAGCTGGATGGGGGCTGCCACAGCAGGATCGGGGCTGTAACAGCTGGATGGGGGCTGTCACAGCTGGACTGGGGCTGTCACAGCTGGATGGGGCTGTCACAGCTGGACTGGGGCTGTCACAGCTGGATGGGGCTGTCACAGCTGGATCAGGGCTGTCACAGCTGGATCGGGGCTGGAACAGCTGGATCAGGGCTGTCACAGCAGGACTGGGGCTGTCACAGCTGGACTGGGGCTGTCACAGCTGGATCAGGGCTGTCACAGCTGTGTCTTTCCAGGCTGGAGCTGCTCCCTGCTGTGCTGATGCCCATTCCTGTGGGAATTGCAGCAAGGTTTGCTGATGGAGCCCTGGAGCTGAGCAGTGCAGCGCTCCAGAGGGACAGTGAGAGAGCACAGAAGGAACAAAGAACAGTTCTGCAACAGGAAGGGTTTGGCTGCTCCCTTCAACCCAACCCAGATGCAATATATTCTGCTCTCAGTGCTTTAGTAGCTCAATACATCAAACCTATCAACCTTTGCTTTTACTGGAGCTCTTTGCTAGAATTATTCTCTTTAATTATATTTTTAATGCTTGACCACCAAGAAGGATGAAAAGAACAAGTTTACTATCGCTCACTGCTTTCCTCAATGAAGCCAATGAAGATTTTTTCTATTTTTATGGCTTAAAATTACTTAATAAATCTTTATAGACTGAGGAACAGTAAAAGCTCTAGTTCTCTTTTAGGCAGAAAAAATCCCCACATATATGAGGATAAATTATTGAGTTTAATACATCTCACTTCTCACTAAATAATGTTAGCACATTATTTAGAGAAATATTGGAATAAAAATTAATGGATACCCATTATAATATTACATACAATTTTTCTGATACATTTAATCATCTTTATGCCTTCCACAGGATGAAATAAAAAGTCATTTCAGGGGAGAATTTTGATGACAGTAGTACAGGTAAATGGTAGGACCATGTTTCTACCCTGAGTTTTTGGTAAACAGATTTAGTGCAAACACATACCTCTTTCAATTTATCCTATGCATAGCAAAGAGATTTCTAAAATAAGATATTAAGATGACAATGTACCAATGAAGTGGCAAATTTTTTGTAGTGACTTCTGCAAGGTTGACTGCAATACGCTTTGGTACAAGATCATAGCTATAACTCAAATATTCACAAAAAAAATTTACAATAATTTGTTTTTTGATTTAGTGAACATCCTTCCAGTTTAGGTGCAAAGAAAAAATCATTATATTTTCCAGTGTAGTACCTGCTGAAATAACCATGGTTATTAATATATGTGGTCTTATTTTGTGGTCTTTATATTAATATATGTGGTCTCAATATATTAATATATGTGGTCTCATTTTGACCCTTATTAACTAATTTTAAAGTATTTTTAAAGTACTCAATTGAGAGGCTTTTTCAATAGATTTTGGTGAACAAGATAAAGTAAAAACTGCCTATGCTTTTTCAGGCAATTTTAACTTCAGTGAGAATCAGAAAAACGCCACAGTTAATTTCCACACCCTCCTTCACTGATGATACCATTCTTCCTTCTTCCTGAGAGAGTGTATCCATTTTCACATCCACATCCAATTGCGCTGTGTTTTGGATTTGGGTTTGGTGGTTTGAATTCTTTGGAAGGGAAAGGAGGGAGGGAATTCTCTTCCGTTCATCCCTTGCCGGACAAACTTCTACTGGTAGAAACCCCTGGGCAAGGAGAGGAAGGTGATTTTCAGATTTCTGGCTGAAAGGCTTCTTTTGTTTGAGAGCAAAAAGTAGTTTAGCCAGGGAACTAAAGGCAAGGAAGCAAATCTTTCTAAGTCACATCTGGGGAGGCCAAAGGAGAAGATGTCTGGAAGTCACTTCTTACATTAGGATCCCTGCATTAAAAAATCCATTAAAATTCTTTGAGGCAAGGAACAGAACTCAAAATAACACTTTATTCTCCAGATGACAGGCAACAAAATGGTTACTGTCTGCCAGAAAGTATTTACCTAAAAGAAACCTCTGCCAGAGAATCAGAGTATCAGCTACCTCAAAACCTCAAAGTAAAGCTAGAAATAAATTTGCAATCATTGATTTTAACTAGAAAATCCAAAATCTATTTACACTCTACCATCCTTTAGAGGGAAGCAGATTTAGACAAATATTCCTGATAGAAAATCAACAATACTACTGTGGTCTGCAAGAAAATGTTTCCACAACATTCTGAAGGAAATAATTGAAATAAAATTTCTTTATACAAGCAAAACAAATGTTAGAATGTTTCAAAGAAGAATCATATATTCTGAACTTGAGGTTTGATTTATTTGCCTAAATTTTGACAACAAAGGCCCGAACATAGTGCTTGTGTAGTACCTGCAGGTTAAGAAGGATTTGCTCTGGTATCAGCACTGGCACTAAATATTCAGAGTTAGACAACTGAACTGAGCCCTTTGTCTTGTCCTAATTGAAGATGAAAACAACAAGTGAAAAGTTTCAAAATATCTTAGAAAATCAACATTGAAAATTTTAACTCAGCAGTAGAAAATAAGTAGAAAATAAACACCTTTCATTGGTAAGGTGACTGATTTTTTACTGTAGTCAGCTGAGTTACACAATATTAAAAGATATAGATTACTATAACCATATTCTTTGATTAAGATACTTGCACAGTAAGGGCCAGGCTAAATACATAGTTTTACAGTATAATCTTCTATAAAGATATTGCATGAATACACCTACACTACTTGTCTTGACTGCCATGCTTTTATTTCTCCTGAAGAAATAAACTGTCCATATTATTTTAAAGAAATCTTTATTCTTAGTGACTCCAAGCTTAAAACATTTTTTCAGTAAATGCAACTATCGAGGAATTTAACATAGATTGCAGGGGACATTAAAATGTCAACAATTAAATTCTGCAAGAACAATAATTTTGAATGAAAATGGCTCAAAAAGGGTGCTACACTCTCTATCCTCAAAATATTTTCCAATTATTTGCAAATAATTTCAGAGGAGTTATTGTTTTATCCTTCATTTTTGACATGAATGCAGGACATCCATAGAAAGGATTATGGTTTTACCCAAAGAAACACCAGAGTTACAGGAATTATTTACTTGTGCTTATTTACAGCTATTACCGATTCCGAGATTCTTTATTTTTGATAACTCACAGATTCATGTTGATGAGTATAGGTTCCCTCCACAACATTGATTATATTTACTCACATTAGAAATGCATTGCTTTCTTGGTTGGTCAATATTCATTCTCCTGAAACTTCAGATTTTATTTTTTTATGAGTTCTCCAAGCACCTTAATGTTTTTCAAACCAGGAGTATTGAAAACTCATAAAACAAGCATCTGCCTGACCTTATATTATCAGGATCAAATGCTGAAGATACTTGAATACCATTCTATTATCTTCAAGGTATTGAAATCATAAAGTAAAATACAGCCTGCTGACATTTTCACTGGTTTGTTATTCAGTGTCTTCCTTGTGCCGTTTGAAATATGACAGAGTGGGACACACTCTACTGGAACTCACTATCAGCTTCTTGAGCCATCCACAGTAATACACTTAACTTGTCATGACTATTCTAAAATATTTCTCTTTATTCCTTTTAATGGTAGATATAGATCTTTCCATGCTGGCCGCCAATGAGAAGCACTTGAAATATGCTACTTTAAGGCAGTATGTCAAGAATATTGGAATAAACCTGCAATAAAATATGTTGGAAATAAAAGGAGATATGGCAACCAAAATGGCAATCTGACTCTTGGTTTTAACAGTGAATGTAAAATATGGGTAAGGGTTCTTCATTTCAACAGCAATCAATTCATAAATACACAGATAGGAATCATTAGCATTTGCAAACAAATATTGCCTCTTTTCCAGGAGCTGAGGATCTCAAGTGCAGTGAATGATGATTTTCATATTCGAAATTAATATATTATTTATATTTCTTTTGTATTTGCTTCCAAAATCAATTAGGACTTCAATACCATTAATATTATTACAAGGGTGCATGTTCAGTCACAAAATCTGATACTCTGCTCTGGAAATAGTTTCTTTAAGTCTCAAAGCTAAAAGAGAAGGTGAAAATCCAATATAAATTTTATCAGTAATGGAATGGTCACAATGGAATGGAATGGTCTAGAGGAAATCACAGCAGAGGCCATTTTATTTTTCTTATATATATGGACTAATAAATATTCTTAGCAATTACTGAGTGTTATTGGAAAGCCTGAATTAGAAATACCTTCTGTTGCAACCAGCAAGCATTAGGGGATGATATCCAACATCAGACCAGTCAGTGCACACCCGTGTTTCCCTTCTGGGAACTACAAAATGAACTACAACCAGCTGACTTTCCCACTCTTCTGTCTCTTCAGTGCTCTCCTTTTGTCTTTTAAAATATGCTTCAAATCCAATCAAAATTCATTGGTATTTAGGTTTTGCAAATTGTCCTGGTTTAGGGCAAATCTGGGAGAAAACCTCTAAAGGAGTTCTTCTAGAAAGCAGATTTAAGCAGCCCCTCTCCTAACTGATTCGGGAAAATATTTCCTTGGAGAAAAGTGGAAAAAAACCTGTTTATTTCACAGGCAAAGCGTTCACCAGCACAAAAAATGAACAATACTAAACAACCAAACCTCTCGCTGCTCTGAAGAGATGACAAATTTAGAAAGTCCTCTTTGAGGGCTGTAGCTTGGCTCACTCAGCCTGTTACCAGTCTCTGGTGCTGGAATGCAGCATTCTGGGACTGGTGGGCCATAGGTGTAAGCTCCTGGTGGTTTTTTGGGTTCTTTAGTCCAGAGCAGGTTTGAATAGTTTTAAGAAAAAGGAAAAAAACTACAGTCTAGGGAATTTCACTGCTTCAGTTAGCAAATAACTAATTAAAAGCAAAGGAGAGCTTTATCTCACTGTTCATTCTGTAGACAACACAGTCCAGGAGCAGAAATGTGGAGGAGTGAGTGCAGTTTCTGAAAACAAACTCCACGCTCCTTCTCTCCCCCACTTTGCTCTCAGAACCAGTCTTAAAGGTGCAAAATTTATTTCTGGGCTAAAGAGATGAATGGGGATACAATTCAGTATCACAAACTCAACCTAGGACACAAATACAGTCTTCACTACTGATCTCCAGCATTACACTAAGGAGTAATCTTTGCTGCTTTATTTTTGTTATTCAGCCATGAACTCTGCCTCAAGAGCAAAAGCTTCCACCTTCATCCTCCAAAGAAGTAAAAGAGCTCTAGCCTGGGTCTGCCAGCATGCAGCAGTATTCTGGGGGCTCTGCTGCTGCTTTGGGATCAGGAAACTGCCCAGGCACACCCTTCAGCTCTTCTGAGAGCTCTGCTTTGTCCCCTGTCCTGGAGGGGACACGTGGTGTGTCTGTGCACACCTTGGGGAGCAGGAATTGGGCAGCAGCAGAGGCCCCTCAGACAGCCCAGCAGGATGTACCAGGGTGTGATCAGCAGAAAACCACCATGGGCATCATTATGGACCAGTTTGTCACTAGGTGGAGCACACAAAGGTCTTTTCTCTCCTGTCATTTACTCCAGTATGAATCCTGTTGAACACTGTCAATTTAGACTAATATTAACCTGGAACAAATGTCTACATCAAGCCTCTTTATGTATACTGAGAGACAGGGCTTTGTTGCTGTAATTACATTTTTTAAAAGATGTGAGTTGCATAAATCTCATAATCATTTCCTCTGCCTATAATGGCTGTAAGCTGCAGTTCAAGAAGATTCCTAATTAATATTAATTCTCACCCTGTGCACAGTGTGTTTTGGCAAGTAATTAGGTCTGAAGGGATGGCCAAACACACTGATCTTCAAATCTTGAACAATTTAATTACAGGCTTGTTTTCTGCGTGGAGCTGCCCAAGCCATGAGTTTAGCAGAGAGCATCAGTGTGGTCCTGCTCAGAGGCTGGTCTGGAGCCAGAGCAGAGAGCTCTGCAGGAGGGGAGCAGGGCAGGCTGATAAGGCCTTTTTTCCCAAAACCACTGGGCTGCAATGGAAGCCCATATCAGCTCATGTGAGTGACTACCTGAGGCTGCTTGTCAGACTGCTGAGTTTGCTGCAAATGCCTTCCTGAGAGAAGCTGGCTGACAGCTGCTAACAGAAAGTAGCCACTCAAAAGAATGCATTAAATTGTAAAGGGGTTCAACAACAAAGAAGCTGCCTTTGTCCTGGATTTGCAGAATTATTTTGCATGACTCTGCACAAGAGAAACTACCCTCTTTAAGAAATGAAGTCCTTTCTTAGATATTTCTAATATTTTTCTTAGCATTTTTTTACTCATTAAGCTAATGCTGAGGCCGCTTATAAGCACAAGTTACTGTTCTAAACAAGGAGGAAACATCCCCTGTTCCAACCTATCACTCATTAGCAGTTTCTCTGATGCCAGATAATGGGATTTTCACTGACAGGGGGAGCGCTGAACCCTCCACCCATTCTCTTTAACACATTCCAAAGAAATGGTGAAAATTAACACCAGTAAAATCACATTACACATCTCACTCAAATTTTCAGAGATGAAAGAGAATCCAAATTGCTTCTGCCCAGTCAGAGGTGCCAAAAAAAGGGCTCCAAGTACCAGAACAGAATTGCTAATTTTTCAGTGACATAAGTGATAAAGAATGATAATGCAGGCAAATAGTTAAATGTGCAATGATTAGTAACAAATGCTTTATAAATGATTAAATGTGTTTGCACAGGTGCTTCAGAAAGGCCTTACTTGTAAACTCTTTACTTATAAGTTGAGAATAATTGTGGTGGATTTTAGCCAAGATTTGCACCTGCTGGAGTTGCTAAATATAAACAACATGAATCAGAATATCTGACTGGGATCATAAAAATTAAAGAGAGGAGAAAAGAATAAAGTAATATTCCTATCATGAATTGGATTTGCTCACAGGATGCTACCTGCATGGTCGAGCATGCTCACTTGATGGAAAAGTCAGAGTTACCCAAATCTTATAAATCTATTAGAACTTGAACACAAATAAAGCACTTTTAATATTGTGCTAAACTGGCTTACCTTTCCTATAGCTACAGGAACTTAAATGAACAAGGACTGGTAGCAGTTACCATAGATTTCTGATTGATTATGGTCTTCCTACTGCTAAACAATGATTTCAAGAAGTTATACCTTTTAAATCTCCTGAACTTTCTGAGAACTTGAAATCAACATTTTTTTTACATGACAGAAAAATAGCAGCCTACAGTATTGCTGCCAGTCCTGCTGTGCATCTTTTTTGAGTTAAACTGTTCTTATTTGGAAAAGCCTATGCTCACCACATTCAGTAGATAATTTGCTCCTAAAGGTACACCACAATTTTTGACATAATACCCCTGATGATTTCCATTAGCCTAGATAACACAGAGCATAAACTACCACACACTGAAGATGGTGAAAGAAATATAAGATCAGAAAAAACACAACACATGAATCCATACTCCCCAGGTGTTTTGTGAAATGAAGAAGGAATGAAAAAAGTGGTTTCATCCCTCCTTCTTCTCCTGTCTCTCTCCATTCCTCCCTCGATTTCTTCCTTGCTTCAGCTGGCAAACTTAGGTAAGAATGAGTTACAGAAATACAGAATTAATTAAATGACATGTTTTCTGCTTTATAAGATGCTTCTAATGAGTCATTTTCCCTTGAAAACTTTGGTGAATATTAGTTATTTATTGATATTTACTCATCTGCCATTTCTAAATATAAGGCTCCATTCATCAAAACACAGAAGGAGATGCATAATTTTAATTAAACAGTGGAATTCAAATCCAAAGCAGACAGTAAAATGTCAAAGGCATCTCTTCGACTTGTGTTTTCCAGTGGATTGCACAAAGTGTACTGAGAAATTAATGCAAAAGCAGGGAGGTAATGCATTCTAGAAGTCACTGCTCCCAACTCGTTCCAAATTTTGGTCTCCTTTATGGGCTATACAATTGTTATAGAGGCTGGAAACAGTCTCGAGTCATAAAAGAAGAGCAATTACAACACAGATAAAGTATCAGCATTCTTGGCAGTATTTTAGGCGCATATGTGAAAATTACTACCATTTAATATCAAGCTGGAAAAAATTAATATGTTAAGGAAAAGAGTAATATTGTGGATAAAGCTTTTACTAGTCCTTACTACCAAGATGAAATCAACGATATGTTGACAGATACAGATACAGTGTACAAATACAGTCAAGAGTCACTTGACAGTAGTGAAAAGTCTTTCTGGTTGAATAGCCCTTTTTTGGAAGGACACTTTTCCCTCAAAATTAAATAAGTGAAGAAGTGCTGGATCTCCTCTGACAGCATTACTAGAAATCAGGTACCTCTTTTCTGTATATGATGAAATTTACAGACACTGAGTGCATACAAACATCAATTTTAGACAACCAGCATGAAAATGAAAAATCAGAAAAATATTAATAGCTTTAAAATAAAGGATGAATACATAAGGAAAAACGTTCAATTTTAACATTCAATTAAGCTTTCTGCTATAGCAGAAACTGTATCTCACATTATGCAAAAAGAATGGGAAGCCAGTTGTGAATTTTATATTAATACAGCAGAAATTGTTCTTTATTGAAACCAGGAAAGAAGAGTGGAAGAGAAATACCACATGTGATGCTGTTACAGAAAAAAAAAGGCAGGCTAGGTTAAACCTACTGAACACATTAAGGCCAGAAATGTAAACAAATTAAAATGGAAATATATGAGGAAAGATAAAGCAGTACAAGATCATAAAAAAAAAAAAGAGGCTCTGTTGATAGACACTGAAAGCAGAAACAGCAGCACTGAAGGAAGACATGAAAACTTTTTATCAAAATGTTTAAAAATACAAGTAAAGTGCAATGAGGAGCAATGTCTGAAAAAAAAAAAAATCTCACCTTATTTTAAAGACAGACAGAACACCTCCCAAACACTGCAAATAAACTGAAAAAACCCACCTTATTTTTCAAGACAGAACTTGATGCCTGTTTTCTAGTAGCCAAATCTTCATGAGCTTAAAGCAGTTGCTGAAAGATGAAGAAAGTTAAGTTAACACATGCAATTCAAATCACTGCAGCACAGATATGAGGAAATTAAATGGACAGCATGATATTTGGAGATACCCCTATGGTTGAATGGGAAGCAGAAATAACACAATCTGCTCTTGTTTCCGTGGAAAGTCTTCAGTGCAGTCAACTCTGCTGTTTTGAAGTTGCCACTCGAACCAGACACAGGAAACATGGCAAACATTTTCCCTAATTGATCCTGTGCAGACAAGACCTCCCTTCTGCCAGGCAACACAGAATAGAGGACAAAATGGTAAATGCCTCTTCTCCTGTACTGTGTGGGACTTGATTTAATGATGGATTATCATGGCAAGTAGCACCCCCCTTTGAAATCTCTTGGATGGTGATTCTGATTAAGTACTCTTAATACTTTCTGGTGAAAGTATTAAGCAGAAACGTGCCATGAAGTAGATGCAGCTGGGAGGGGACGAACCTTGGTGACAAACACTGCACCTTTTTCTCCCCCACCCTCCCTCACCACCCTCACTCCCCCACTGGAATGGTTTCTGTTACTGGATCAGTACTGTGGAAATGGTTATTTCAGTATAAATGCAGACAGAGGAGATGGAAGGGTTTGCAGCCAAAATCTATCTTTGTGAAAGGGCTGTCTTACACTTATGCCAAACAGGCCAGACAATTAATAAATTAGAGATAGGCAATGCCACAGATGATAAATTATCTACACAGAATTCTCTCTACTTAAAAGCTGAAGCTTTTACAAACTTGCATAACCCCATTCAAAATGCAAAACAAATGCATTCTTTATATAAGTAAAAACCAACAAACTATTTCCCATACATATTACTGTGCAGAAGAATTTCATAATTAAAAAACCCACTGAAATCAAGTGCGAGAGTCCTCAAATACAGTCTAGAGTCCTAGAAAAATACTGCACTCATCCTGTGCAAATGGCACAGCTATCAGAACAGGTGTCTTGAAGGCTATTTAAAGTATTGACTTAATAATAATAAATTAGAAATGAAGAAGCCTTTAAAATGAGTACAGATAACAGAAACAGTACAAACTGAATAAAGGAAGAGAGGGGACACAGATCTATTTATCATGGTTCTCCAAGAACAGGGAGAATCAACCCAAAATCTCTGCAGGAGCCCCAGGTTTGGCTCCAAAGGGCTGAACCCTTGGCACTGCAGCACAGTCATGACTGGTGGGAACCTGTTATGAGAGCAAAAAGGACTTACAGAAACCCGCCAGACAGGATATGGCTGGCCCACATGATTTGACTTCTGCTTTATGGTCTCACCAGCACAGTGACAATGTTTACTGGGAGCATGAAAAAAGGTTACCAAAATATGACACAAGAAAAATTGCATGAGGGAGCTGAACCAATACCTTTCTTCATTGTATTTTAGCTCAAGCACAATAGCTGCTTCAAGTGTTTAGAAACACTTTTTATGTGAACTAGAATTTTACCCTGGCTTCTTCGAGGAATTCACAGGTTAATAGCCATTTAACACTACTGAATTTCACAATCTTTCCCTTGGTAACAATATTCAAGTTTTGAATGCCCTCAACTCCCCTCCAAAGTAACTTCAGTTACCTTAATATTTAGTTACTTTCTTTCAAAATCCAGGACAGTCTACTTATTCTTCAATTCTTAATCCATTTTTCTATCACAACCTGTTTGTACTGCAGGTGATCTCTTCAACTACTCACTGAGATTTCAGTAAATTCATTCTATTTGTTGATGGCATCTTGAGCAGATTTATAACACAAATTTTGACTCAGAAAGTATATATATGGACAACGTTTTGACAGCAGTCAGTTTCTTGTGTGGTTGGTAAGACTGTAAAATTTTGTCTGTAGATGTAAAGCTTAGTTTGAGAGATTAGAGAACACTTCCAGATGTTTAGTAAATCAGGATGTTCCATAAACCTCTTTGTTTATCTGAGACACATTTTCAAAGCCACAAAGGGGGAAGTAAGGAACCCAGTTCCCACTGAAAACCAAGAATCACCCCCTTTATTAAGAAAGCTGAGATAGTTCCTCTATACATGATGACAGTGTTTTGTGGATGGAGAAAATGCACAGAAGAACATTTCATAGCATGATTAAAATTGCGATGTCTTAAGATACAAAATACAATGAGAAAGGATTTTAGGGGGTGTTATTTCCCACTAACCCATCTGATATACTAAGGAGGAAAATATTAACAAGCTTTCAGGCCCACAGATCTTAAAAAGAGGAGGAAAAACATGTTTGGAAGTACAAACCAGCAATGACACCCTTGTGTCTTGAATCTATGTGTGTGCAGGCACAGTGTGCCATTGTGACAGCATTATTAAAGTCAAATATTCTTAAACAACCGAGGAGAAGTCTACAGGTTTGGGTGCCAGCAGGAATCTTCCCACCAAATTTAGTGGCTAGGTGGATGTCACCTTTGGTAATTGCCCCTGAATTTATCCCTGAGTTGAGGGCAGCACTGGCCAATTTTCCAGTGACAGATTTAGGATTTCCCAAGACTTAAACTCAGGTGCTCTCTCCTGGCAACAAGATCTGAATTGCTCAAACCGAATTAAAGGTCAGTCCAACTTGAGAATCCAAGCAAAACCTGGAAAAAATTGGAGACAAAAACCAAAAAGAAGTAGTTCTGCTCATGTGGAATCTTCTCAGTCTGCTGTAGTAGGTTTGCAGTTAGATGCTGGATGAGAGAGCAGAGCAGCAGTGACAGTGCACAATGGATGGGTATGTCACAATATCCACTGGATTACTTCACAAAGAGTGGGCTTGTATCAGTTTCAGCCTAGTCCTGTTTAATGTCTAGAAGTGCTTCATTCTGCCTCTAAACTGCACTTTTTTTAATGAGAGCTTGTTAATAGCTACCAGGCATAAGCTCAAATAAAAGCCAATGATTATGAGCTGATCACTGTAGGAAGACCAGATGTGAGAATGAATGTAAAAGTAAGTACAATGGGTTGGAAGGAAAAAAGTAAAGTAAGGTGTCCATATAATTTGCCAAGTTTCTATGAGAAAAGAAAACCCACTTTTAATTCAAAAGCACAACTACACTTGATTTATTCACTGTTGTTCACCTTGCTCCTACCTTTGCCTCTCAGCAGACTAAGCAGATTTTCATGAGACTAGATTTCTTGTGTCTATGCCCACGCTCCATTCACATCTATATACATGAGCTGGAGTGGCATATGGCACTTTAGTCAAACTGGGTATCAGTTACACATAAAACCCAAATGTTCTTTCCCTGGCTTTGGTGGAGTTATACACTGAATTGTTTCAGCAGTACAGTACAGCTTATGTGCTAAAGAAACCACAACAACATATGCATATTTTACTCCCAGTTTATTTTTTTTTCTATGTCCCAGTTGTCATTTTCTCATTAGAAATGCCAAATAATTGCTCAGATATTTGCTTGCATCATTCCTTTTGCTATGAGCAAAGTTTTGAGAAGCTTCAATTCTTCTTATCTGGAGCCCCAACTTACTAGTTGGGGCCCCAACTTATTAACTCAAACTTATTAGTTTGAGTTCCAGTTCACATAACTTCAAGATACCCTTGCTCATGATTTTGAAATTACTTAGTAATTTAACTGAATATCTTGAGGTTTTATGTCTCTCTTTTTTGACAGATCCTGAATCTCAGATATTCATGTGATTTTGTAGCTTGTATTTACTAAATTTTAAACCCATATTGAACCAGTTATATCACGCATTCTTTCACCCTAATCTCAGTCACATCAAAGCTTAGACCTCAAATTCCTGCACCTTGCCCTCTCAGATTCCATATCCCATTATGAAGCTTCCAAATATGAGGAACTGGCCACTAATATTAGAAAGCTGCTTCAGAGGTTATTCAGATTTCATGTCAAAAACATACTAGTTGCTTCCTCTTTGAATTAAAAACCTCAGCTTCCATTCCATTCACCTTCCAGGGGCTTTGCAAGCTTTTTCAGAGTCCTCCTAATCAGGCTGCTGTCTGTTAAGGAGGAGTTGAGAGGGCATCCGATTTCAATTTAATTTTGTTCCATATGCTACACTTTGTTAATGTGATTACTGCTTCCCCATTCAGTCTTTAATTAGGATTTGTTACCTGACAGAGTTTAGTGTCAACACCGCGTCCTTTCACTTTTACACGCAGTCACAACATGCTCGCAAATTACACTTCAGGTGAAAAAAAAAACAACCAAACAACCAAAGAAAAGAAAACCTTCGGAGTAAAATGCTTACAGAATAGGATATTAGGATCATGATATCCAGAAGAATTTTCCTTCCTATCAGAGCTAAGCATATTCATTTCCAAGCCTTCACAGTCCAATCCACGAAGTTACACAAAGAGACAGAGAACAGCGGAGGCAGCGCTGGTTGCACCGCAAAGGTAACTTGGAAACAGAATATCCCTTCTGGCTCCCTAAAGCCCGGGATATTCGGCTACAACTTCGGGATCCTTACGAGTGTTTTATTATTGTCAAAGTTTTACAGCGAAAGAGTCGCTGCCCGGGGCGTTCGTGCCTTCACCACACACAGGTTCGCACTATACAGAATGACCCGGGCACCAGAAGCGAACGCGCCCCAGGCTGCAGCTCCCCCGGGGACACGGGGCGGCTGCCCGGGCTGGGGATGGGCCCGGGCTGGGGATGGGCCGGACAAAGCCCCGGTGTGCGGCAGGGGAGGATGAGGAGGGAGCCGCGGGCCGGGAGCGGCGATCCCGCCCCGAGCCCCGCCGGACGGGCCCGGCCGGACAACGGCGCCCCCCAGCGCGCGAGGCGGGCGCTGCAGGCAGCGGCCAGCCGGGCGCCGCGCTCCGGGAGCGCAACCGGCACCGCCGCTCCCCGCACCGGGCCCCGCCACCCCCCGTCGCACCGGCCCCTGCGCCCCGCCGAGCCGCACGGCGCCCGGCAGAAACACCTGTCCGGCCGCCGAGAGGCAGCGAGCGCCGCGGCAGCGCGCCGACCGCTCCTCCCGGGGCCCGCCGCGGGGAGTCTCCCGTCGGGCCGCCCGCGGGGCTCGGGGCGCTCGGGGAGCGGGACGGGCGCGGGCGGCGGCGCTCGGGGCGCTCCTGCGCCCGCCGGGGCTCCGCCGGGGCGGGCGCGGCGGCCGCACCTGCGGGCACTGAGCATGCGCGCGGCGCGGGGCACGCCGCGATTGGGAGCGCGGAGCCAGAGTGGGACGGAGCCGCCGGAGCCGCTCCAGGGGAGCCGCTCCATGGGAGTTGATGCCGACGCTGCCGCCGCCTCGGACCCCGCGCCCTGCGAGGATCCAGCTCCCGCCGGGGACTCCCGCCGGCCGCGCGGAGTCTTCTCCGGAGCCGCGGGCTGCCCGGAGCCGGGCATGACCGGGCGGGCGGCGGGGGCCAGCCGTGCCCCGCTGCCCCCTCGCCGGGGGCCGGGCGGAGGCGGCGCCGCCGCGCTCCCTGCCGCGCCGGGGCTGCGCCGCCCGGCCGTGCCCTGAGGAGCGGCGGCG